TATCGCCTTGCAGTCATCAATTATATTCTAGCAGCTTATGTTCCAGGCGTTTGTCCCACTAATCGAAATCTCTGTTCTTTTGAATGTCACTGAGCATGTAAAGCACAAGGATGTTGCAAATTATTAAAGGGACTAGATGATTGTTTTTGATGCAATGATTTTATGACACTTTTGCTGTTGACAGCTTGGTGAACATCTTCAAAGAACTGGCTTCAGACATCGAAGGCTTTGAGCATCCCGGTCATGGAGATCTGAGAGGATGGGCCAAGCAAGGTGTGCGTCTTCGTGGAGTACACATTAATAGTTAATTAATTACACAACTGATGACACAACATGTGTCAAAAGACAGATCCATTTTACAACTGCGATGCAGATTTTGGTTTAGAAATAGCAGTTTTTATCAGCAAAAAAAACATTTCATAAAAAAAAATTTTCTCTCCCATTTGAATATTAATTTGAGCTAATTCCAAAGTCATGGCTATTGTACTTTTCTCCTCATAGGTGTATGATAGCTGATTTCCTTGTGCATGTAAGTGTCATAGATAGATAGATAGATAGATGCTAAGGACCTCAGAGGGGTTGCTAGGTTATTCTAGGTGGTTGCTAGGGTATTTGGAGTGGTTGCTATGTCGGTACTTGGCTAACTGGGGTGGTTGCTAGGGTGTAGCTATACGGTTGCTAAGGTACCCGGGTCGGTTGCTAGGGTGTTGCTATGCGGTTGCTAGGGTACCCAGGGCTATTGTACTTTTCTCCTCATAGGTGTATGAAAGCTGATTTCCTTGCATGTAAGTGTCATAGATAAGATAGATAGATGCTAAGGACCTCAGAGTGGTTGCTAGGGTATTCTAGGTGGTTGCTAGGGTATTTGGAGCAGTTGCTATGTTGGTACTTGGCTAACTGGGGTGGTTGCTAGGGTGTTGCTATGCGGTTCCTGTGGTACTTGGGGTGGTTGCTAAGGCGGTTGCTAGGGTGTAGCTATACGGTTGCTAAGGTACCCGGGTCGGTTGCTAGGGTGTTGCTAGGCTACCTGGGGTGGTTGCTATGTGGTTGCTAGGGTACCCAGGGCTATTGTACTTTTCTCCTCATAGGTGTATGATAGCTGATTTCCTCGTGCATGTAAGTGTCATAGATAGATTGATTGATTGATAGATAGATGCTAAGGACCTCAGAGTGGTTGCTAGGGTATTTGGAGTGGTTGCTATGTTGGTACTTGGCTAACTGGGGTGGTTGCTAGGGTGTTGCTATGCGGTTGCTAGGGTACTTGGGGTGGTTGCTAAGGCCGTTGCTAGGGTGTAGCTATATGGTTGCTAAGGTACCTGGGTCGGTTGCTAGGGTGTTGCTATGCGGTTGCTAGGCTACCTGGGGTGGTTGCTATGCGGTTGCTAGGGTACCCAGGGATATTGTACTTTTCTCCTCATAGGTGTATGATCGCTGATTTCCTGGTGCATGTAAGTGTGCTCAGTGGCACGTCTCTTTATGAATGTCTTTGGCAGGAGTTCTGTTGCTGAACGCTGTGCTGACGGTGCACGCTCACCAGGCCAACTCTCACAAGGACAAGGGCTGGGAGACGTTCACTGATGCTGTGGTACACTGGCTCAGCACTAACACGCAGGCTCTTGTCTTCATTCTCTGGGGCTCTTATGCTCAAAAGAAGGGGGCTGCCATCGACAAGGTGTGAATCTTTCAGTTTATAGATGAACATGAACAGAGGTCAGTAGATCCAGTAAATATTTCAAACAGGCAGTCACACATTGTTTTCTGATTGTAGAAGCGACACCACGTTCTGCAGACGGTGCACCCCTCGCCACTGTCTGCTCACCGCGGCTTCTTCGGATGTAAGCATTTCTCAAAGACCAATGAACTGCTGAGGAAATCAGGAAAGAAGCCCATCGACTGGAAAGCTCTGTGACCGTTTCCATTCGTGGCTGTAGATGGAATGCTGTTTGTCCTGTTTCAGAAATAAGCTTTGTTTTTTAATGTTCATTTCCTGCAAAAAAATATCCGTATGCTTGTTCTGAATACGTATGTGTTTCTAGAGTAGGTCGACTGTTCATTTATCTGTCCAGTGTTTTCCTTTCAGATGTTATCGATGTAGTTTTAAATGTACAACACTAACAGTGAATGTTTTTGTGTTCGTGTCTGTTAACACAAGAAACTATTTTCCTACAGAATTTTATGTGCACTTTGCTTATACGGTCTAATTTTAGGTATTTTAAACCTCCATCCTTCCCTCGGGTAATTTTGACCCGGAAATTAGTTTTTTGTTTTTTTTAGGAATTTTTAAAAATTGTGTGTTCGTCAGACGTTGTGAATTCTGTCACACTTGATTTAAAAAATACGTAATTAAAAAAAACTTTTCCCTCACAGGTCAATTTGTGAAAAAAAAAAAACCTGAAAATTTATTTTAAAAAAGCTGTTTTTTATTATATTTGATTTTTGTCTGCTCACCGCGGCTTCTTCGGATGTAAGCATTTCTCAAAGACCAATGAACTGCTGAGGAAATCAGGAAAGAAGCCCATCGACTGGAAAGCTCTGTGACCGTTTCCATTCGTGGCTGTAGATGGAATGCTGTTTGTCCTGTTTCAGAAATAAGCTTTGTTTTTTAATGTTCATTTCCTGCAAAAAAATATCCGTATGCTTGTTCTGAATACGTATGTGTTTCTAGAGTAGGTCGACTGTTCATTTATCTGTCCAGTGTTTTCCTTTCAGATGTTATCGATGTAGTTTTAAATGTACAACACTAACAGTGAATGTTTTTGTGTTCGTGTCTGTTAACACAAGAAACTATTTTCCTACAGAATTTTATGTGCACTTTGCTTATACGGTCTAATTTTAGGTATTTTAAACCTCCATCCTTCCCTCGGGTAATTTTGACCCGGAAATTAGTTTTTTGTTTTTTTTAGGAATTTTTAAAAATTGTGTGTTCGTCAGACGTTGTGAATTCTGTCACACTTGATTTAAAAAATACGTAATTAAAAAAAACTTTTCCCTCACAGGTCAATTTGTGAAAAAAAAAAAACCTGAAAATTTATTTTAAAAAAGCTGTTTTTTATTATATTTGATTTTTTATATATATATATATATATATATATATATATACAAAATCTGACACAATCCAGTACCCCAATGAAGGGCTAAGACTACAGAATATCCACAATGCAGAAAACACACACACATGGTACACACACTCAACATAGAAACACATAACATGAATGATGTTAAAGCTGGGCAATTACTGTCATTTTGCCTTTTTTATTTTATTTTACTTAACACAGTTAAATTTGAGTGATGTGGTTGAGGCTAATGAGTTTATATCATATTTATATTTTTAAATATATTTATTGCATATGAAATTGTATGAATATACATGTTATAATTCAGTTTGAATTTTAAGAAAAAAAAATACAAAATATTGATTTTTTTTATATCTAAATTTATATTTGAATGCATAAACAAGCAAACTGAAGCTTCAAGTTGGCCTAATTTTGTTTTGCTCAGTTAAGCATCTCAATAGGATCCTATAGGGCTCTCTAGTGGCAGCAATCATATAATGCTATTTTATGTCATGTTTTTCCACCAGATGGCATCAGAGACACTCGGTGACCCGGGTCAAAGTGTAGGCTTTTAATAGAAAAGGACTGAAATTGGTCAAATAGTCAAATTATGGCTTGGAGAGATGATTTCTACTTTACATTTGGAACGAATTATAGATAGTTTGAAGGGCAAATTTGAACAGTTTGACCAAACCTGGCACCCTTTTCTCTGTTATCTTGATGGAAACCCTATTGTAAATGTAATGTTTTAATATTTCTTCATCATACTTTACAATTTAATGTAAACAGGTCTGGTAAGAGATTTGTAATGTGTTTCTCTCTCTTTTCCAATTTTGATTGTATTCTTTGTACAGGTAAAAGAGACAAAAAATGTAAGATTGCAAATCCATCTTCAAAATCTTTGTCTTTCAATAAAACTTATTTGACAAAAAAAAAAAAAAGGACTGAAATTGTGTCATTGCTGTTTTTTTTTTTTTGTGAAATAATGTAAACAAATTACTTATTTGGGCATAGTTTCTAAAAAAACAAATCCAGAATATAAGGCAAATAAAAAAAAATCACCAAAAATGAATAAATAAACCCCTATATGAATATTTAGAAATAAGACAATACTCTGATTAAGAATCTACCATGTAAACAGAGATTTTTGATTACCTTAATCCGGCTAAAGTCATAATCGAAGTAAACACTAATCGAATTAAGACGTGGAGTATTCCTATTTTAGTCGCATTATGTGCAGTAAACACGTGTACACACCAGGACTTTTCACCGCATTTTGCGACAGGATACACACACACACGGCAGTGCTCAACCGTTTGACGGCAAACAAAAGAATATGAAGAAAATGGCTTCAACAACGCCGTCGTCTGTTTGCACGTATAGCATGACAAATAATTAACTGCACTTGAAGCTTTGAGTAAATTAAAAATGAAACACCCAAGACTGTATATAGCATGATAACGAAGACGAACTATATGTTTATATGTGAAACTCCGGAGGGGACGTCGGATGGCGTCGCGTGGTGACGTAATGACATGTACCATTAATCGAACAATGTACTATAACACGTAAAACGGGAACATGAGAGGAATATTCTAAAAGCAACTCATGTGAACACCTTAATCGTGATATTGTCTTATTTAGAATAAGGTAAATAATTAGATTACTGATGTCCATGTAAACGTAGTCAGTGTTGCCAGGTCCGCGGTTTTCCCGCGGAATCGGGCTACTTTAACACGGTCGCCGCGGGTTGAGGCGACAGCAATAACGTGATATTTAGCCTCTGGAATGCGCATATTATCAGCGGAACCCCGCCAAAAAAAAAAGCAAACGAACAAAAAAGGCCTATTTTACCCTCCGAACGCGATCTAGTTTTGATCAGCAATTGGGCGGGTTTTGTTGAGAATACCTGGCAACACTGCTCAGTGCTATTGCTGTGCTCGCGACGCAACAACGCCCGTCCTGAGCTCGCCATAACGCGGGGGGCTTGCGGGAGAGTCGGGGCGTTTAATGAAGCTACTTCTTACACGAGATCACCGGATCCAGCAGTAATGGGCGCAGGACGAGTCATAAAGTGAAGCAGCCGCGAAAACATTTAATCATGGCGACTCGAGAGCCGAGGCCGTTGGTCAAGCAGGAGCAAGACGACGACTCTGACGCAGAGGAGCCGACTGCTTCCTTCAGGAGAGCCGACCAGCAGATCATCCACAGCGGGCACTTCATGATGTCCTCCCCGCACACCGAGCACCCGTCGAAGAAGGGCTACGACTTCGACACCGTCAATAAACAGACCTGCCAGACGTACCGCTTCGGGAAGACCAGCACGTCGCATTTCTCCATCGACGTCTCGCTGACGAAGCTCTTCGAGTGCATGACGCTCGCCTACAGGTGGGTCGGTTAGTAAACACACGAGCGATTTACGAGCTGTTTGAGTTTAGTAAACAACATCATTGCGTCATTAACCAGCGCGGATGGGTTTCAGTTCCCCGGTCATGCGATGAAAACTTGTGTTTTCGGTAATGCGTGATGAGCTTAACAGCCGACAGTTGCTGGTTTGTTATTGTTAGTCACAACAATCACAGCTGTATTAACCTGTGCATACACTAGTTAGTCCTTTTAAAACGCGAACCTCTAATCCACAAGACGCCTGGTTAGTCAGGAAGTGTTTACACATTTCCTCTTCCAATCTTTGCAACCTGCAACACAAACAAACAAACAAACACAGACACTTAAAACATTAGTCGTGCTCTTGGAAGTACACAACATGATGCTTTCCAATCTTAATGCACTATAAATACATGCAATGACTTGAATACTTATAATTCACAGTGACGGGTGTGATGCATAACTAGGTAATTAATTACTGTAATTTAGTTAGGCTACTTTTGCACTGAAAAGTAAAGTAAGGGATTACTCTTAATTCATCTGCAAGTTAATTACAGTTACTACTTACTACAGTAACAGAACTGACCACGTTCCAGGAAATCCCTACTATAGACAAAGACAGTCAGCTATCATGTGACTGAAGGAAAAGAAGATAGAAACGTTCTGAATGATGAAACATGAAGACCATAAACACTCGACTGCAACAACGTATAGTGTATCTGTGCTCTTCAAGCCATCTCGGGTATTTTTAATAATGATTAAGTGTATTTATAATTCATTGCTAATGGACATTGCCTTTATTACAGTATATTTTCTTCCTCATTCTGTGATGAGAAGCCACATTAGATCACAAAAGGAAGTTATTCTGACGCAGAGGAGCCGACTGCTTCCTTCAGGAGAGCCGACCAGCAGATCATCCACAGCGGGCACTTCATGATGTCCTCCCCGCACACCGAGCACCCGTCGAAGAAGGGCTACGACTTCGACACCGTCAATAAACAGACCTGCCAGACGTACCGCTTCGGGAAGACCAGCACGTCGCATTTCTCCATCGACGTCTCGCTGACGAAGCTCTTCGAGTGCATGACGCTCGCCTACAGGTGGGTCGGTTAGTAAACACACGAGCGATTTACGAGCTGTTTGAGTTTAGTAAACAACATCATTGCGTCATTAACCAGCGCGGATGGGTTTCAGTTCCCCGGTCATGCGATGAAAACTTGTGTTTTCGGTAATGCGTGATGAGCTTAACAGCCGACAGTTGCTGGTTTGTTATTGTTAGTCACAACAATCACAGCTGTATTAACCTGTGCATACACTAGTTAGTCCTTTTAAAACGCGAACCTCTAATCCACAAGACGCCTGGTTAGTCAGGAAGTGTTTACACATTTCCTCTTCCAATCTTTGCAACCTGCAACACAAACAAACAAACAAACACAGACACTTAAAACATTAGTCGTGCTCTTGGAAGTACACAACATGATGCTTTCCAATCTTAATGCACTATAAATACATGCAATGACTTGAATACTTATAATTCACAGTGACGGGTGTGATGCATAACTAGGTAATTAATTACTGTAATTTAGTTAGGCTACTTTTGCACTGAAAAGTAAAGTAAGGGATTACTCTTAATTCATCTGCAAGTTAATTACAGTTACTACTTACTACAGTAACAGAACTGACCACGTTCCAGGAAATCCCTACTATAGACAAAGACAGTCAGCTATCATGTGACTGAAGGAAAAGAAGATAGAAACGTTCTGAATGATGAAACATGAAGACCATAAACACTCGACTGCAACAACGTATAGTGTATCTGTGCTCTTCAAGCCATCTCGGGTATTTTTAATAATGATTAAGTGTATTTATAATTCATTGCTAATGGACATTGCCTTTATTACAGTATATTTTCTTCCTCATTCTGTGATGAGAAGCCACATTAGATCACAAAAGGAAGTTATTTCAAACACTCGACTGATGTTGTGGAGTAAAAACATTCTGTTTTGTCGGGCAGCAGGTTTCACAGACACACAAACAGAGCCAGTTCAGTGACAAAGAAAACACATGGAAATTATTTAACCACAAAACCAAAAAAAAAGCACGTATTGAACTGAATGTCGTGCCGAACGGTTCAATATTATACCGAGAATTGTGGCTTCCCTAGTGCTTTCACCCAAAAGTCACATGGACCACTTTTTAAAATATCTCTTGGTTTGAAAGCTGTTGTTTACATAGAAATTCTTCTAAATCTCCTCACAGTTTTCATTTTTGGGGTGAAACATGACACACACACACACACAAGATAGTAGTAGTAGTTTTAATGAAATAAGAGTAATTCAAAAATAGTATGTTTTAGTTCTCGCATAACAAATGTTTACATAGTCCACAAGACCAAATAATCTTTTATTAAAATGATTAACATTTTTTTTTTTTCAGGTCCATTCTGACCGCAACTGTGTGAAGTTCACTTAAATAGTCTTGTGGTGTGACAAAATTACAAATGTACTTTTATATATTCAGTTTTCAGTGAGGTAGCAAATATATAAACGTGCCTATTTTTAGATTTTTTATTATTTGTGTTAACATTTGTGGAAGTGGTTGTTGTTTTATTTCCAAGCATGTTTGTGTTAATCCAACGACAGACTCCTGTTTTCCTTAAATTATGCATTCACAGTCATCACACTTAAACTGAGGAACTATAATACACCAAAATTCTGTGGCCATCTCTTTGTTTAGATTTCTATCTTCATGTTAGAATTTCGCAATTCAGACACAAATTGCACAGTTCTGTTCCGCCTTGTGGGAAGTGCATGACTCTACTCACTCACTACTTTAATCAGATCTTGCTCTTGTGTAGTTTTGTCTGAAGCAAGTTGTGAAGCTAGTTGCATGGACTACGATCTCATTATTTTCTTGTTTGGTTGTATAGCAACATAGAGCGTTTGGCAAAAATCATATCTGTCAACTGTTTTCTTTCTTATAGTTAGGGATGCACGATATTATCGGAGCGTTATTGAAATCGGCCGATAATGGCTAAAAATGCAAATATCGGCATTGGCCCGATATGAAAAATGATGCTGATATGCCCGTCCGGTAAGGCTTTTTATTTACTTAGGGCCTACTTGTAATAAAATGAAAGTAAAATACACAAATAACATTAAGATTGTGTTTCTGGTTAAATAAAGCAGTAGTTGATGTCAAAAAATCATGAGTATGGTTTGATTTAAAGGTCAGAAGGTATAGCTTACATAAATAAAAATCACAAACAAGACGCTTGTAAATTAAATAATTTATATATATATATACAGATTTATTCATTAATGTGTAATATGTATTTTTTTTTTCAACCGGATTATGAAAACTTAAATACAAGAATCTCTAAAAGATTATTCTAAACTCTTTTGCTTTAGACCATCTACAAATGTTAAACATTCAAATAAAATGTTAAGGATTGCTTTAGTTATTTTCAAAGCTTTCAATGTAGTCTCGTTATAAAAGAACTTCATTGTTTTATTTAATTCTCAAAAGTACGTTTTTGTTAAAAACTAACCAAAATGAAAAATAATTTGTTTATAATCTCTGTACAGGAGAGACTTGGTGTTGTTTCCAAACAAAAGGAAATATA